TTGGGGAAATGCTTAGTATTTAAAACGAATGTTTATGATGGCATTGTCGGTGTAGCATATGGAAAATCATGGTCATCAAACGATAAGCTGCCAAGCATCAGGAAACTGTTTTGAGCCTCCTGTCGATCCAAATTGTGTACGTGTGTACTACGAGCGACACTGACTATCACCTCTACATATCGGATGACGAAGCCTTGTCTTAAAAGGTGTGGTTCAAAAGTATATTGTAAAAGAGAGAACTGTTCTCTACAAGACAAATTACATCGACAAAGTCCACTAGAGAGAATCCTTTATACCAAACTAGCCTCTCTACAACGGCCGGTGAATAAACGAAAAGAGAGAAGCTAAATAAACAGAAAAAAGCTAAATAAACAGAATACACTCGCTCTACCTTACCCGCTCTGTTTCACAAACCCGTCTCCTCTGAACATTTATTTTGAGATCATACATTAATTGTGTTTTGATAAGTATCTTTTAACCCTGTAAACCTTAACATCAGCACGCACGTTTTTCATACATTTCCTGATTCTTACAAGAAGTATTTGTAGAATAATTAAGAGCTTTTCGAGTTCGCAATCATTTCCTTAATTCTCATGACCTTAATGTTTTCATTCAGGAGTGATATTCCTGAGAGACAACTGATGCCCTCCACTCATAAGTGTTAGAGGGTGAAACACGGAAAACTGTACCCTCGATTAAAAAAAGTCATTTTACACTTTGTTCTTCCGGTATCGTTTCTCCTTTGAACAAAATCACTTCCTTCTGTTTACGGGTTGCAGTTCGACTGTGAGGGTATCTTTTCTCTGATCAATATACGTTGAATAGCACGTTCAAGTGATCAATATGTAAAATAACAGGGTTTTATTGAGTATCAATGAAGGGTACTTTTTGCACTGACATCAAATTGTTAACACATTATTCCTGTTTCGTCCGAAAACCTTTGCGTTTTTCTTGAGACCCATAAATTGCGCATATTCACCACCTTTCTGGCCAGTCTGGTAATTTACGGTACGGTGGCGTCTGCTACAAGAGGGTCTAGATGGGGAGGTACAAATGTAACAAATCTTCTGCACACAAACTTCTGTTTGTCCGTGCGCAACATTGAAACATTCCTTTTCAACCACTTAGTCGGTCAAGATGTTGGAAAGAAGATCGTCAGAAAGACAAAAAACTCTTGAAGAGTCCTCTTGCACAATATATTGGTTTTATGTTTTGTTTTACAACGCGTCGATTGTGATTGGCTCCAATGAAATGATCGGAAAGGAATGTTCTTTTGTTTACTTTTCCATTAGGTTATTGGAGATATCTACTGTAAGCGTGCCTAAGAAATCCAAGCGAAAATGGGCGCGAATTTGCCGCCCGGATCTAGAAACCGTAATTGGGGTAATATCTTCATCCTCTCGGTCATAAAAGTTGTTTTCTAAGTTCGTGTCATATTCGTCTGCATATGTTCGCACCTCAGCAACTGCCACTTCAACGATACAGTCGTCAACGAATGTGACATCTGTCACATTCCCACCTTCCGAAGTGGGAAACCCTAAAAGCTGGAACGGTGGAATGGCGGAAAATGACCCTCAAATCCTAAAACACGGAACGGCGGAAAATGACCCTCAAATCCTAAAACGGATGTCAGAGCATGTTGCACGAACTGTTTGTACAAAGACACTCAAGCGCTTGGCACACTAATCCCCACGACGATAACGCGCGTGACTAAAATTAAGTATTATTAATTTTTTTTTCTTTTACTCAGTAGTATAAATAATTATTGTGTTACTTTTTTTAAATACTATTAATG